TGTGTGTGTGTGTGTGTGTGTGTGTGTGTGTGTGTGTGTGTGTGTGTGTGTGTCGGACTGCAGCGAGGGTTCACTTCAGTCGCAGCGGAGAGAGAACCTTTGTGTTTGTCAAGAGCGAGTCGACAGCAGATCTTGTCTCCGGTGCTGTTTTTTTTTCCACAGTAGGACAGGTGGTTGAATTAATGTTGATGGGCTGGAAGGGTCGGACAGTACTGTGAGCCAAACTGAAGGTATTGCTTCACGCAGAGATGGAAAATATTACTTGAGTGTAGTTTTGTGGAATGGTAACAAACAATTAAGGTCTTATTTGTTGTAGATAGCTCYTTGAATGAACTCGGTTTGGAGAAATAAAAGTTGCAGTTTGACTGGATTGACGAGCTAACGGCTAAGATCAAAAACAGATCGCTGTTGTCCTGAAACAGCTCAAATCTCAACATTTTCCAAAGCTKTTCATGTGTACAGTATTTTACTCATATTTACATGACTGTCATTTTCACATCACATGGTTGTTCTGGCAGAAATTTGATGACATTCCTGCTGGAGGTGCCTCAGGCTTTAAAAAGGCTACATTCTCCGGCTTTTTCCAGTGGATGCAAACCCAAAAAGGTGATTTTTACTCACTGTAAAAGATATTKTCAGTCACTTTGGCTGTTTCAGTGGGCAAACAGCTACTTCATGCTACTTTAAAGTAAACAGATTGTTGTTATTGTGTATATGGAAAACAGGACCCCTGTTAATACATTTAAATAATTTCCTAAGAGGCACTGTGGAAATGTGTCCTGACTGTTTTTTTATAATCCAAATAACTGCAGTTATTTGGATTATGCCCTWACTTTAACTCAACCCCAGCTTGTCATCTTCTACCTTAACCATACCCTATCCTCTAAYCTTTAATGCAATGTACAGATGGTACAGATAGCTGCTAATGCTAGTGTCCATTTCCAGCTGTTGTCGGTGAAGGTTAAGGTCAGGATAGAGTTGAGGTTGCACATAATACAATGGTTAATGCGTCCTTAAAATATGAATTAGTGAACAGSTTTCAACTATTCTTTTGTTTAGTTTATTCACAAGATTACAGTCAGGACACTTTTCCACAGTGCCTCKTAGGAAATTATTTAAATGTATTAACAGGGGTCCTGTTTTCCAYATACACAATAACAACAATCTGTTTACTTTRAAGTAGCATGAAGTAGCTGTTTGCCCACTGAAACAGCCAAAGTGACTGAAAATATCTGCAATACAACATTCATGGAGGAAGAGCTTTTTGGGATGGGGAAGTCCAACAGTTTTGGTTTATTAGTGCAGAGGTGTAAACTCAGTTTCTGCAGTTTCATACAGTTCAGGATAACCATTTTATGTTTGATTTCACTACAAAGAGTCTCAATCTATATTTGGGAGACCATTTAGCTGTTGTCAGCTCACACAGGCAACATGGAGAGAAACTCTGACATCCTTCTCTCCAGCGGTGGTTTCTCGCTCCCTTCAGTGAGTTCTGGGTCTTACCCAGAGGATTGTACCAGTGAGACATGCCTGAAACCCTCCAAAGGGAGGCGTCCAGGAGGTAGCAGTCGCCCCTGAAATTCCTCAAAAGMCTTTCGATATTTTTAAATTTTTTGTAAGGGTGTCAAGCAAAAAGTAAGAACCGGATGTTAGCTCCTTCTCTGGTTTAATTTTTAAAAAGGCCCCAGTAGCATCTGGAAACGGTTAAAGGCAGAAACCGCACCGTTTTTGCCCACCGGTGGAACACACTGTTAAGGAACCACCTCAACTGACTCCTTTCGATGTGGAGGAGCAGCGGCTCTACTTTGAGCTCCCCCTGGATGACCCTAAGACCGAGCCCGGCCACCCTTTGAAGGAAGCTCATTTCAGCTGCTTATATCCAGGACCTCACGACCACAGGTGAGGGTTGGAACATAGACGGAGCAGTAAATTGAGAAATTTGGCTTTCGACTCAACTCTTCCTTCATCACAACCGACCCGAAGCAACGCCCTCATTACTGAGGATGTGACCCTGATCTGTCGATCCATCTCCTGCAGATACTTGAACTCCTCCACCTGAGGCACGGATATTGAAAATGTGATTGAATGCACATACTGTATTGCATGCTAAAAGTTTTAAGCCACTCATAACTTTATTATATTTTGCTTCCAGGAAGCCAGACTTTCTTGTAGTCTCTTAACAAGGTCCTGATCAGTAATTCTTTAAGCCTAATGAAGGTTTTTTTTGTAAGTAATCTTGTGACTTTGGCTTTTGTTTTTCACAATTTTTCAGTTTAGTTCTTGAAACTGACCGTGGCAGCAGATCTTAAAGCGAACAAGTGGAGGACATGCGTCAGGTCTAACAAACTATCTCCAGCAGATAATCTGGAATTCAAAAACATCTGACACAGGAGCTGAGATGCTCCATCCTTCAGCTGGAGTTTTAAAGGCAGAAGCGGTCGTCTGAGCTCTCAGAGCCGCGTCTTTCAGTGAAAACTCCATTCAGCAGAATCGAAAGCTCCATCGATCGCCCTCAGCACTAATAAGATTGGATGTAGCACTCCTAACGCCACCAATATTCCTTTTCTCACTAAATCAACGGCTCAGATCGGCACATCCATCCATCTTCTCTTCCCCCCGCTGCCCACCTCTCGTCGTCCATATGTGTCAGGCAGCTTCAGGCAAACAAAGGAAGGAGAATGAGACACACCTAAAGGACTTACAGGGGCCTCGGCCAAYGCTGGAAGCGAAGGGCTCCACAAAAGGGGAGACAGATGAGGTTTGTGATGGGCAGGCCGTCACATCCAGAGACGGACAAAAGAGCAGGGTGACGAGCGGCCGGGTGGACAGAGGGTCCATTTCCACTCTCACAAAGGAACCGGGGAGATGAAGCAGATTAGCAGCTCTTTATTCCCTTTGTGAAGGCTCTAAATGATAAGATTTAGCTCCTTTTTTACTTCCTCGCCTGTGTTTTGTGTGTGAGCCCACACAACACATCACAAGCTCTTTCATTTCTTCTTCGTTACACTCAACATCAGGATATTTTTTTTCCCTCATATACCGACAAATAAATCCACTTTTTCTGAAGAGTAATTTATTCATCCTCAGAGAGAGGACAGATTTGACAGGTGGCTTTTGAGTCTCTTCTCCTCTTCTTCCTAAACCCTGAATTTACAGTTTGAATGGAAAGGCGCTTAGCTTAAAACCCTCTCATCACCACGAGATGATGTTTCTTTTATTTATTTATTTACTTTTTATTTTTTTATGAGTCCCTGAGTTGAAAATTACCCCCTTTAATGGAAGCGATGCACTGTTGCTACTGGACAACATCATCAGTCAGTCAGGGGCTTTTATGGAGCTGTCACATGTTATTAATAAGCTGTGATTGTGGGACACATCTAAGAGCTGTTTTTCCTTTTCCACCTGCATAGTTTTGCTCATAAAGATTTTATTGAAACAACAACAAAAGCAGTGAGAGTTCACAACTTTTCTAAATGTATGTTTGTATTTGRTGCCATCTAGAGGCCATTTTGCAACATTGCAATCAAAAGATTGCAATGTTGACTGATGATGTTGTCCAGTAGCAAGTACAGTGCATCTCTTCCATTAAAGGGGGTAATTTTCAACTCAGGGACTCACAAAAAAAAAAAAATCATCTCATGGTGATGAGAGGGTTTTATAGATAAGCACCTTTCCATTCAAACTGTAAATTCAGGGTTTAGGAAGAAGAGGAAAAGAGACTCAGAAGCCACCTGTCAAATCTGTCCTCTAAGACTACAGTGTTTTTAAAGCTACTATTATAAAAGCTGGATTASTCTAGATTAGATCATTTGAAGCCAGTGTATTATGTGGTGTGGTAATAATAAGTCTGTAAAGAAACGTCAGACATTACTGAGTTTTATTGTTGCTGTTTTTTCTTTTAATTGTCGTCCCAGACTTGCATTCAGTTTATTTCAGTTTTAACACCTGGTGCCTGAACATGATAGGTGGGCAGTAATGTTTTTACACATGTACGCATGTGTTGGTGTGTCTGTCTGTTTTCAAATTTAGCGGTTGAGTGACTAGTTGTAAAGTAACAAAGTACAAATGATTTGTTACTTTACTTAAGTATAAATTTTGGTTATCTGTACTTTATTTGAGTAATTATTTTTCAAWTTTTCAATCAACCTTTTGCATCTACTCCTACTTTCTACTACTTACATTTAAAAAATGTAAGAAATAGAAATTTGTTGCTCCTGTTTTATTTTGACTTGTTTTCACTCCAGTTTGTGGTTGTTAAAAAAACAAATTCAGATAAATTGCGCCTTCTGAATAGAGTGAATTTAATATATATGTAGCCGAAGGTTTTCAACATTAACATTTTGATATAACATTAATATCATTATGATTGACAGAAAAATGTTTTTAATGAGGTCACCTCCTAATGAATGTCATTTTGAGAAATCTAACCGCCCACTTCCAATTAATACTTTTATTTTTAACACTTAAGTACATTTTATATTAGAAATTTACATTTGATACTTAAGT